TCTGATCGATACTCGCGAAACGATTCCAGTTAGTTTAATTGTCAATCGTTCTTATTGCGGCTGTATTTCATTGCGGTATAATTGTTTTAAAAGCCAATAATCTCTTTGAGCTTCTATCCCAATCAACTAAATGATAAAACTCATCAAGCAACAAGGTCGCGTAACCGTAATTCATTTAGAGACCTGTCACACGGATCCAATTTATCGAAGATTGTTTCGTGGCAGTACAGAGGATACAGAGTCGCGAATGAAATTTATAGACTGCAACGGAATTCTAATTACGAACAATTCGCTTTACTCTTTGCCATCGCGCGATACGAATCATTTGTACGAACATTTCATGCGAAACTACAGAACATCCAATATTGGATCAATTGCGAGCACAAAAATTACCTTTATTTTTCGTTCGTTGCTTAATTTATTAAGTTTGCATTAATTTCTCGCTGCAAATGCCAACAAAATTTTTCCGTTCGTGCGGTACATTTTATAAACGGTTCGAGGTTTTGTACCGACAAATACGAAACGAAACTACGAATTCATACTTAATGTAACCTAGGTCATCGTGATTAAAAGAGAAGCGAATCTCATCTAGTCAACCGCGTAAAAAGAAATCGGACGGAACCAACCTTTCGCGATTGAATCCATTATTTTTTCACGCGCAGCAGGCAATCAAGACCGAATCACCTTTAGTAACGAAAGAATGGAGAAAGCAAAGTGCATGCAGTCGTTAACGACCCCACAATTTTTTCCCCGACTAAACCTTGAACAACTGACCGATCAGCTGATCGTGTGCCGGAAGTCAAGCGATCGATTCTAAATCTGCGCCTCGATAACGAAGCAGCAGATAACAGAATAGCGATACGTTTTTCGAATTCTTTTAACAGAATGCCCCTACAATTTTACAGGCACGTTCGCTTTTCTATGACCTCTTAACGATGAATTATTCTCTCAAGAGACTCGCTAAAAAAAGGGGAGAAAAATTTACTTCTAAAGGAGCATCAGGGGATAAAATTTGCAATTGTGGAAACGATCATAAATATTATTTCACGATAATTGAATAAAATTCTGAGTACGCTATGAAATGTCAGATGCCAGGATGTAACAAAATTAATCGCGCGGTATATTCTTAAGTACGAAGAAACGTATAATTTTTCGTGGAGACTTACCGATGTTAGCGAACGGTCGTAAGAATGACCTAGCGAACAATAATTTAAAGCAGCCGATGTCTTAACGACTTTATTAGCCTCCTTCCCGTAATTATAACTCATTCATTAATCACGATAGTGGGCCCGGTCCGTCGCGTCGTCCCGGTTCAAACTATCGATCTCGTTGTTGCATCGAGGTTATCGTGCCTACGCTTCAACTTACTACACGCAACAATTATATATTTTTTCTTAAAAATTCTATATGTTCCTGGACATTTGAATTTTTATAATTCTATCTTCGCTTTAACACTTTCCAATCGAAAATCAAACAACCAATGTAACGCAGAGGATTCGTTTCGCGTTTCAATATGTTAATACATATCGATTCATTAATATACATACGTACATTCGCATATCGATTTGATTTTACTCTATGAGATACCGAGCTGACCAGTCGTTATCATTAAATCGCTAATTCAAGCAACATTGTACGTAGTCGTTAATCTCCATCATCGTTACCGTGGCCTGTTTAATGCACCATGTTCACGACCTCCGCGTATTAAACTACGAGTACGCGATTCGAATTTAACTAGATATTCCGCGAAAAATTTCTGCAACTCTGGCAACTCTTTACACGATAACGACGATGATCTTCGTGGCTATTCTTTGGCCACTTCGAAGGTGAGACTACGTCCAACGAATATTTATAGAAGACGACTTGTACGTAATACCGGCAAATCTTGTTCCCGCGTTAACGCGCAATGCGTACCAACAACACCGTGTACTCGTTTAACCCCCTTAACCTGTTTCGCTAATAACGCTACGGAGCTTACGATTCGAACCTTAAACGTCTAAATTACAACGAGTGCAGTTATAATCCGCACGATGAAAGATCGTTCAAACACAAAATACAAGTAACGGTTTAATTTCGTTTATTTGCCTCGTCGTTGCAACACGAAGTAGCTAAATTTGATTCGTACGATTAGGAGCTCGTGTAGCAAAAAAGTTGAACTGCTCGATTACGAACGATGCGTCGTTAATAATCAAAGTACAAATACTTTCTGGCTTTAAATGTTTTTTGATAAGCACAATCGAAAAAGTTTTAATATTCGTCTGGCGAAAATACGCGCTGGCGCAACAATACCCTTAACATTAAAATATTTCGAAAGGTGACATTGGAAAGAAATTTTAAAAGAAATTAACCACGACAAAGATATTCGAGATAGTCGCGGCAAAGAGGGACACTCTGTACGTGCCGATTTCAAGAGCCAATCCCGCAACCGTTTGCAGGCCGTGAAAAGCTCGCTACTAATTCAGTTTCATCGAGTCGGCAACAGTTTAGCGTGAGTAGGCGCAGTTAAACGGAAAATAAACGAGCTACGATTATCGTCCGAATCAACTTTTCGCTAATTCGTAACGGAACGTAGACTATAGAGCAAAGGACAAATCGAGAAGGCAACTCGCGTGAAAACAATCTAACAATGCCGTACATAAATTAATGCGAAAAGATATGCTCTTTTTTAGTCAACGTTGCCCTTTTAACCGCGTAACATCTTCGCGAAATATGTATAATAGTTGGATATAAACGTTCAACTTGAAACCATCGTTCAGAAGCGAAGCGTAATTCCTTTCGCGAGCCATGGAAACTTTTTGTCCGCTAGAATATTCCTACAATCTCGCGGTTAAAAGCACATTTTTCAAGAGATCCTCTTAAAAAAGGCCACTTTCAACGTCTTTAAGGAAGAAACGTATTAACTCGAGTAAAGTGCTCCTCTGAAAATCCCTGTAGCGAGTAATCCTTATTGAACTATAACTCGGTTATTGTATCGTGTACAAATTTTCATTTTCAACTTCCAAAATTACGAGGTTCCGAAGTGCTAAAGTAGCAAAATTACAGAAGCGTGAAATTTCGAAATACAAAGTTTCAAAGTCTCGAAAGGCTAAAACGAAAAACTTTCAAAGTCTGTGGTTCTACTTCGAAAAGTCGTAACTTTTCGCGTCAGCTTTTTCTCGATGTTACGAATCATGCATGACACGGTTGTAACGTTACCGAACAGAGTCTCATAGGTATCGAGAAGAGATAACGAAACGATCGAACAACAAAGCGTTCGGATAGTGGATAAGCGAAGCATTCGGTAATAACCGATAAGGAAAGATCCGATAAAAGAGCTTCTACCTCCGATAAATTCGTTCCAGTGGATGCAAATTAACGCGAGCATCTGAATCATACGCGCGAACGTTTAAACGATTCGCTTAACTTTGAGATAATTTATCCGCAGGACAGGAAACAGGAAGTTCGCTGGAACGAAACTTAACGGCGATACGCGGCTGTTTCTCGAAAAGTTTAATTGAGAACGTAAACGCTGCCGATGAAACTTTCGTTCACGCGTACCAGTTGCAAGAAAAATGCGACAAAGTTAAATTTCCTAGGTGATTTGAAAAGCTTCTCGTTTTCCGAACTTTTCTCGTTTTGCTTTTGTTCTTAGTTTTTTCTCCCTCCGTGACCAAATATGAAACGTATTATTTTCTTCTTCCTTTTGTTTTGCACGATCCGCGCGAAAAATACGCTTCGCGGTTTAATTTTGCTTTCTGACTTTTCCTTCCGAGCGGAAGAAACACAGTTCGTCTTCGCTCTATAATAGGATACGAAACGATTCGATCAAATGTTTCTACATTATCCAACAGACCCCTGTCGATAGCGCAAGGAGTTTCTACGTCGCTCACTTCGAAGCACTCTTCGAACGTTGACAAACAAATCGAACGTCCTGATCGTTCAATTTTTTTCACGCGTAAGTTGCCTAAACTGAATCTCGATCGACGTTATTCGAATTTAAATGGCGTTTGACAGGTTCTCTCGAAAACAAAGGCACATCGATGCTTCGGATCACACGCATACGCACGCACACACTGGAATTACACGTTAGTCACGTAGAAAACCGATGACGTGGAAATTAGGGAAAGGGCAAATTAACGACAGGTTGAAACATGCCAATCAACGCGCGAAACGACGCGAACGGCAACCGAAGCAAATTGTCCGATCGAATTAACATCTTTTCAATTCGCCAGCACGTTTCCAGTAATTAATTTCGCGTCCACGTTACTCTCGTCAAAACGAACATATAAATCCTGCCACGATACGATTATCGGAAACTTCTTCAACACGTTACACACAATTTTAAGCGTTTCTTTTGTACGGAAAGTTTGAAGATGTCTGACTTACCAGAATTCTGGAAGCGAAGTAGCTTCGTAATCCGATTGACAGGCACGGTGCAATCTCTCCTATCTTCTACTCGTAAAACGCTTGATTCTACTGTCGGTTGTCCCTCGTTCCGCGTTTTGTCTCCCGAAAAATCGAAAGTCTTATCGACTGCACCGTACGAAATTCACTAAGTCAGTAACCCATAGATGCTCCGAATCGTTCGCGAACAACTTCTCTTTCTTTCTCTCTCCCTCTTATTTCTCTTCGAATAGAACTCAACGTTAAGGTTAACGCCCATAGGTTCAATATCGTTTCGATACGTTGTTTACACCGCGGTTCGGTCAACAGATCTGCCGATCATTGAACTGCCAATGTATCGATTTGACGGTATATTTCAAATATGCACGATACTAACGCTTATTAACATTTGATATTAATACTTGGAAAGTAGTAATACACACGAAATACTGAAGAACTATCGGTGTCAATTATAAATCGTTTCTGATTTCAGATTTCCAGAACGAGAAGCGAAAAGGGACTACGTATTAGCAATTATTACGACATCACGATACATTGCAGATGTACGAAGAAAAAGATTTCATCGAGATTAGGCAAATCGAAGTCGGCTGCGGTGGCGTTTAAGAAAAGAGGTAAAACAGGGGAAACGAGATAGCACTTTGGGACGTCGATAAGATCTCGGTACGTCATGGTACCAAAATTGTTCCTGCTCGGCTCTCACAAAGTTAAAAGGTAGTGAGAGTCGAATCGAAATACAACGAGGGGGGATCGAATAGTTTTTCTTCGAAGAATCCTAGAAGATTCTGTAAACGGTTTATCATGAAGAATTGGGTCATACGTCATTTTAAATCGTCGAAGGCGATTTAAAGAAACACAAAGCCGGATCTCGAACAAACTTTCTCTCTGGAAAGACAGTGCGCAACGATCGAACGAGAAACCAATTGAACTTTGTTAAGATTAAAAGCTACAAACTTGTCAGAAGCTAAGAATCCTAAAAATGGTAACGTGAGATCTAAAGAGAACGAGACAGAAGAAGGAGCCGATGAAGGCGAGAAAAAATCGTTGAAAAGACGAAACGAAGGTAGTCCGAAATAATGGAAACAAGTTTCGAAACATTAAACGCGACCAGTTACTACGATGCTGGTGTATTACTGGATAATTCGTCGATTAACGAAAATTTTGAGAAACCGCTCGAATGCAAAGTGGAAATCAATTCGACCGGCCTGTTCGATTTCATTATTAACGGGGTGCTAATGAACTTGGTCAGTATTTTTGGGATATTTGGCAACGCGATCTCGATGATCATACTTTCGAGGCCGCAAATGAAATCGTCGATTAATTACCTCCTAATTGGTCTAGCCAGATGCGATACAGTGTTGATCGTCAATTCGGTAAGTTCGATTATTTATCGCGTTCGTTAACCGAGCAAACTTACGATGATTAACCATGTAAAATCATTCTCTCTCTAATTGAATAAAAGTTCGTTATTTTATCATCGCGCCGTTTCAACGTCAAGAGTAAACCACTTGTGGCATTTCCAGGTATTGATTTACGGGTTGCCATCGATTTATTCGTACACCGGTTACTTATTCAACTATAAATTCATCATTTACCCGAAAATAATTCGATTCTTGTATCCGCTATCGTGTATGGCGCAAATAGCAACCGTGTACCTAACTTTAACCGTCACGCTGGAGAGGTATATCGCAGTCTGTCATCCTTTGAAAGCGAGGTCTTTTTGTACCTACGGAAGAGCTCAACTGGCTGTAGTGGTTATCGTGATATTCTCCTTTATTTATAATTTACCCAAGTGAGTAATCTCTTACGCGAAAGACGAGACGAAAGTTTTGATAATCCACCGTGATACGTACTCTTTTACTATGCTCTAAAAAAAAGGAGAAAGGCGATATTAAAAATTGCCGTTGTATACATTTCAACGATAAAGTTTACGATTTACAGTATCGAGGATTAAGCAGAGTCTACAAAGATTCTCGAAACTTTCGGACCGTGCCATGTTTCGGAAGATCTATAAAGTATCGTTGTCCTGCGCTTTTCGTAGATTTTGGGAGGTAGATTTCTACACGGAGAAACACTGGAAATACAACGTTACGATATACTGCCTACATCCGGCGGATTTAAGAAACAACAGTTTATACGTTACCATTTACGTCCACTGGATGTACTTCTTCATTTGCTACCTGTTTCCGTTCCTGGCTTTGGTGATCTTCAACGCAGCCATCTATCGAAGGGTGAGCGAAATAACCTCGTAAACTTTGTACCAGTCAGAAAAAACGTTGAGTCAAATCAGGAACAAAAGGTGTTGAAAGAGTTCGTACCGTTTATGAGCATGTAAGTCTCTTCTCGGTAGGGTTGAAGCAAGTTTTTATAACGATCAAATCACATAACGAAATTTCTGCGAACCATTTCGCCAACTCACCTAGACGGGATACCAATTTCCTAAATGGCGTTTTGCCAAATAAATCTTCGCGCAATCTCCCGTAGTCCACCTAAGAAATTTCCCTCGCATCGTCGCGAAAAACGATCCCTCCGGGAATAAACTCCATCTTCCAGCGAATCGCGCGACTATTTCTTCACTATTTTTTTCCTTTTCTTCCCATTTTGCTTCCGTTTTCTTCCCTTTTTCTCTCGTTTACCTCTTTGTTTACTAGTAATTATTTAGACAATGCTGTAAATAGTTGATCCTGTAGAGTATACTCGAGAAACGCTTGAAAATCGAAAAAATACATTGGTGTACAATAGCCGCAAAAATTCTTGTACCCTTATCAATTGTCGAGAGAAAACACCTAGATGGGACGAGTATTTCTTGCGGATCGTCAACCGCGTTCGTGTCGTTCAGCTCGAAAAAGCCAACGGTAGTATTAAGACTGAAGGACAACGTTTCACACTCGGGACAAAAAACATTTCCCGACGTTTCAAGCATATTTTCTGTTTCGTACTCTTACCGTGAATTCGGTCGTTTCTCTTGTTCTTTTTTCTTTTCTACGTATGGTTAACAACGAATCAAAATAGCGTAAAAAAATTAACCCATAATTTTCTGTAGGAAAATGAAAAAGATTGCCCACGGTTGGAAGATTTATACGTCGACTGCCACGGTAGAAACGAACATCTGCGATAGTCGCGATTATTCAGGATTCCATAGGCCCATTTTTCAATTTAAGCTCCCCATTTTGCAATTTCGAATTGCAAGCTTTTCATTTTCCAATTTAAAGTTACGGAAGAATTTGAAAAATTTGCCAAAAAAAATAATTTGCAGAATACGCGAACTAAAATTATGTTTGAGACGCATTCTTGAAACTCGTACGATCGTTTCGAAGAAAAAGCAGCAAGAGGACGTGCAAATGAACACACACGTAGCTCGAGGTAAAGATATACCAGGTCTGGAACCGCTTGAATAAGCTCGTGCTTTTCGCGTGTTTATTAGTTCCATTGAAATAATACGAGGATCACGTAACGAAGTGAAAAAGCAAAAGAGAATAATGATCTTGTCGTGGAATATTTTTATTTTCCACTTTACCGTTGGAACTGGAAAACCGCTAATTATTTCTGTGTACAACTTCTGCGTACAACTTCTGCCCATCCCCGTCCCTGTTCTTTTCTTCTTCGCTCTTTTTACACCTGTTTAAAGTTCCCTGGGATAAGGGTAGTCATTAATCTTTCAGCCCCATCGTAATTCGTTCTGACAGTATAAGAGATTGAATTAATTAAACTATTTCTTACTTTATTGAAAATTTGTTTTATTATTAGAATGTTCATAATTTCTTGATACCAACAAATTGAACGCGAAAACTCGATAAATCGTTAATCGACGATTCCGGTGCTCTTAAGGTAACTCTCTGTTCTATTGTAACTCGACACTGATTCAATCGATAGTGATATATACCTTCCTACCGTTAATAGTCGATTATCGACGTCGTATATACGAGTATATCGCTCACAGTGAAACGGTTAAAACGATTCGATTAGGAACATAATCCACAGACTGAACGCATTGAAGATTAGTTTTCAAACAGAATTCAGATTTCTAGAATTCGTGATTACGATACTGTGGGCTCTCGTTACACGGATACCGACAATCTCTATAGGGAAACATCACTGTATCGTTAATAATTATCGTTAAAAATAAAGCAGTCTGAATTTTTACCCTTTTACAAGAGAATTCGTGAACTCGTATCGGTGCAAAAGTTAACCATCGACCTCGTTTCGTTCCAGGTAAGAAAAGCGAACAGAGACCTACAACAGCTTTCGAGGCATCAAAGACGCGAGATCGGCCTGGCGACGATGTTGTTGTGCGTAGTAATCGTTTTTCTTATATGCAACATCCTTCCGCTCGCTTCGAACATCCACGAGACTTCGTTCCTGACCGATCCGCCTCTGTGGTTGGTGGAGACCGGTAATCTTCTCGTCACGATCAACAGCAGCATCAATTTCATCATCTACGTGATCTTCGGCAGGAAATTCAAGAGGATATTCTTGAAATTGTTCTGCAGCTCGAATCTGTTCGGTCCAGGAAGGGACAGTCCAGAATTCCAAACGTACGACGAGTCGATCGTCACCAACATGACCAACATAGAACCTAGGAACTCGATCAGAAATTATCACCTGAACAGGTCGAGTACGTTCAGAAACAACAACGTGCCGAACGGTAGCACGCGACAAAGTTTGAAAATTAGCGGAAGACCCGCCAGTCCGGGTCCCTGTGTCTATTATCCTGCGAGGAGTCCTGTGAGAAGCCCTAGTCAAATGTCTAGGACGTCCAGCAGCCAAAACGGATGGAGCAAAAAGGACATGGACTCCGTGCTGTAGTAGATCCCGCATTATCCGATTCCGATAAGTCCACCGACCATTTTTCCTGCAACAATGAACTCTGCATTCGACTCGGCAAGGAAGGTGAAACGAAAGAGAGGATTCGAAAGTTCTCGAGAGTGTTACTAGTCAATCGATCGTAGTCGACTGACTTTTAGAGAGAACAAGAAATACATTTCGTCTTGCCCTTGTTACAAGAACCCGAGAATGGTCATAAATTATAGAGATGATTCCTCGCATCATATTTGACGAACATTTCCAGAAAATCTGATGTTACAATTAATTAAGACCAACGTGTATCTATGTATTCCACGTGTAGTAAGAACGTTATAACATTGTTTTACGGAACAAGTTCGGAAAGAGAAGGTTTCGCCTTAGGACCTAAATTGAAAATGCGATGCATTTTATCTCGGACTGCTTTCTATTGTACATATTGTATAGGGAGTTACAATGGAATCTTCGTTATATATTTCAACATTTTTTTAAGTATTTTATTGAAATGAACATTTATCCCTTGCTTTTCATAATTAAATAAATATGTATTAAATAACGAATTTGAAGAGTAACATCTTTTTCCTATTCGCATAAAGAAGATTCTATTGTATTTCAACGTCCAACTAAATGTACGTTCCTTAAAAAGTGTAAGGTCATCTCCTTCTCCAAAGTCCAACGCGTACTAATAATGTAGAAAATCAATAATTCTCGAAAAAACTATGATATTAGATACATTATTTATGATAAAGAGTTTAACCCTCGTGCATGAAATTTATTGACAAAATCAACTAATAACTTTAACGACCGCGTTTTGGAAGACATTGATACATATTTTATGGAAATATGGATATAAAACTTTCTTAGTCGCATTCGACGATATATATTATTAATTATTGTAGATATGTTAATGATACGAAGAATATTTAAAAACAATTGACATGATAATCGTTCACATTCCTTTTCAAGTACATAATTGTTATTTGATAAATGCACAAGGGTTAAATCGAATTAGATCGTTCGAAGATGATCACCTTACATGAATGTGGAACCGTAATGTAGGTAGACAATACGATATTCGTGTAAAAAAAAAATGCGTCCTTGTTATCATAGTGCAGAAATATTTTAGCAAAATATAAATATCAGCTAAAAAATTACATACATCTATTATTTTGATATGTGGTATGCCTCTGACTTCGATTTCATTTCATTTCGAATAGTAATGAGGAGGAAAAACGACCAAAACAAAAAAAGAAAACTTGTCATGCTACTCCTACGCTTTTAATCATTTTTTGGTTATCAGTCCAACAAAACCTAGAATGCAGTATTATCGATAATCGATCGAGTGTAAATAATATTGGAAATCAATTTCCGATTGTTTTCATATTTAAAAAAGTTACGTCTACGTTTCTTAGACTGTAAAATGATGAGTGTTTACAACGTTTACATAATCATAAGTCGCTTATGACAATTGTAAATTATAACATACAGTTTACGATAAATGGTAGTAGGATCTCGATTACTTGAACTCTTAATAACACAAAGGATAAATAATAATTTCTTCGTATTCCAAAATGACTCGTAGTTTTTTTCAATTTTTATTGTATCTCGCTTACTTATTCGAAGTGTTAGAATTTTTTCAATTTTTGCTTTCTCAACCGAGATTCAGAATTCGTTTCTCAATTTTCAAACTACCACTCTATTAATAGAATTTAGCAATCTATCTAATTTTATATCCGCATATACTTTGAATATCCATTCGAAACATTCGAGTAATCGAGATTTTACCATATACTTCCAAGCACTAACGAACAAATTATTCGTTGTTATAATTCGCATATTATTTTGAAACATTAAGGTGCTCGATGCCAATAGAGGAATTAACTATTTAATACAAACGATAAAACGATGTATTTTTGTAGTATAATAATATATACCTATGTCTTTATATATTGCGTAGCGAAATGTCAAGAAAATTCGAAACGTCGCTGTTAAGTTTTGTCGCGCCATCTATGCTCTGAAAGATTGAAATATCATTCCATCTCTACGTAATTTGTATTACTTACAAATATTTTGACGATTATTAAATTACAAACTCGAAACTTATCACGCTTGTTCCTTCTTTTACAATTGCACCTTAATGTTTCAAAAATAAATGCGAACATGTACCTGACGTTGTTTAATTGATAATAAGTACATCATTCTAGATTCTCTTTATTACGCACTTTTCCGGTCAAATATTTGGTATAATTTTGTTATTTATATACAAATATCTTACGCAAAGTATGAACATTTATTGTTTCACAACAGTAAAAATTTTAACGATAAATGCACTACAAAACTTGTATGTTAATCCAATTGATAAATTCATTTGAATTCTCCGTTTCTTTTTTAACGAATTAAATAAAATTTTGTATTAAAATTACTACATTTTTTAAAACAGACTATCTGCGGAAACACGATATTTGTAAAAAAAGAACGATAAGCATTTACTACCGTAATTTTACCGTACGTAAGATATTAATGTCGAAATTCGAAATTAAACAGAGGGAAAAGAAACGCTCTCGTAATTATAGAAAGTAATGTCAAGGACATCAATATATATATATATATATATGATTATATAGATTCTAGTCACAAAATTTCTATCATGCTATTAATAAATTCAAAATCTGTACAATTAAATGCGCATATATAAACGTACATGTATAGGCAAGAAGAAACAATGCACAATTGTAAAAATAAACTCTGTAAATGACTTATAACATTTTATTCCACTGTATCAACTATTAATTTGTGTATAAATTTCATATTATTGTTACATTAAAACTCTTTGTGTCATAAAAATAAAATTAAATGAAATTTTCTGTATACTAATATATATTCCGTGTATTTACTTGGTTTTCTATCAAATTAAACGATTAAACTCTCGTGTTAATTTTTATTTTTACGTTTTATTTAATTAAACTATATCATTATTGATCGGTTAAATACATACATATTAATCTGTACACACAACCTTCAAAATAAGTCTCACATAAAATCATTGCAAAAATACATTGTACACATTGTCTGGCATATAAAATATAAAAAGAAATAACGAGGAATCAATCACTGACAATTAAGAAACGTCCATCTTTAGTTTATTTCTAATTAGAATAAAATAATATACAGCTTCTTATTACATAATGTATCTATTGCTTTCCGTATTTTGATCACTTTTCTGCAGCAGGTTTTTTAGACTTTGATTTTAAATAAAAGTATAGAGCTATACCACCCACGGCGATGAATGTTGAACCAGCAACCTTTAAAATAATCAATTCATATAAATAATGTTAAATTGTATAACATTGTTCAACATTTAGAAGAAAATAGCACAACGTCACAGAAACGAAGAGCAAAATTTTGAGGTTACTTACATTCGCACGACCTTGTACAGTAACGCTGTTATAATATTTTGAAAAGCCGGTTAATTTCGGTTCTGAACCCTCTCCGCCTGCCATTATCTTCTATCAACGTGTTTAATATATAATTTTTTAGTTAAAAGAAATGTCACTTTTCAAACGAACAGCTAGTCCTTTCAGCGTTTAGTTCCTTTCTACATCTTCTTCTTCAAAACCAGCGACTACAGGCCAATGTTGAAACTAATGCCAGATAGCGCTATTAATGTCCGGTTACAATATGCGCCCGCTAATTTTTCAAATAACCGATTACTTTAGAAAATATGTATATATGTAGATTTTATGTTGCTCGTTTTACATAATACGTATATAAATTTACAACTCAATTTAAAATAAAACTTACGTGTACTTTGGCATATAAATATTTAAAATAAATTTTCAGTTTATCAAAACAGATTAAATTTTTCTATACCGATTTGTACTAAAATTTATTAAGAAACCGTTAACCTAACTTTCCATAACTCACGATTTATATTAATTTATTATTCGAAAAATGACGTTTTTGTCTCGCACATGCGGAACTTCGAAACCCCTTTGCCATTTATGTATCACATACTATTACACCAATTGGGATAGGGATTGTATTGCAAGGTACTTGTTCGAAGAAAATTTCATAAACGTTACATTTTGTATTTAATTGTAATATAATTATAGACGATTTATTTATAAAATTATTTGCTTAATTATCGAACTACCAAAAATAAAAATATCACTTTTTGTACACTTAGTACAAATATGTAATGTACGTGATTTGAAATATAAATGATACTTCATTTTTACTTAACAATATAATAAAATTAACGAAAAATTATTAATTTTCTTTCATCGAGCATAGGTTAACAAAATTTATAGCTGTACACAATAGCTATTATAAAATATTGTTACTTAATAATAATAACAGATATTAGTTCAATAATATCTAGGAACATGTATGCTCTGTTTTATAATTATTCTGTGCTTTCTACTCTATATTTCAGATTTTTGTATGCATTGTTTATCAGCTGCAAAGAGAACTATATTTATAATTTTAATATGGACACTAATTAATATTTTAATTGTATATTATATTAAAATTATCTTGATATTTACCCACATATCCTGAATAACTGAATCATTCATTAAAGCATGATCCTCATATCTTTCTGAAATAATTTCAAGCTTGTTTAATATTTCGATCACCGACTTTAATTGTATCAAATGAATATTATTTTTATTATGTATCATATCTCGCATTGTCTTTGATACAGTCCTAAAAAGAAAAGGAACTGAATTATGTATGCTTCACAAAAAAGACAACTTTACTCTTAATAAGAAATTCATATTATGTACCTGCCAATGTTTATAAACTTTGATGGATAATGTATTATATTAATATTTTTATACTGTACAGGTATGTTAAGGGTATATAACAAAATCATCGCATACGAAGTTGACTCAAATTTAGTAAACCCTTGAATAAATTCATCTGTTAATAACCAGCCTTCTCCTTGATGATGAAATATATGTATTATTGTATTAGGTAATTCTACAAAAGAATTATAATTAATTACAGAATAATGTGTTACATCATAAACTAATCAAAGAGTTATATAAAATCTTACCAAACACTTGAAAAAATATTAAGTCATCCGATGACACATCTCTGACAATATCTCTTAACTGATTTTCATTAATTGGCGAAACTGCAACCTCTTCTTTATCTAAATTTTGTGTTCTCTGATGCGATTGATTTTTAGGGTACGTCATCGTTTGGTCACTTGTTTGAGGTAGAAAGGGCACTTTATTCCAATTATTTAATTCAGCAGTATTTTCAAATGCTTTAACCAACGTATCGGCTACTATATTCGCGTTCTCGCTTAATAATTGTTGGGAACATTCTGTTTTATTATTCGTTTGTAATAGCGGGGATGAGGTATATAAATTTTGAGTTGTTGCATGACTGAAATATCCTTCTTGAAAATTCGTATTGTTTATTAATGTAGAGTTATAATCCAAATTATTAGTTGGCATTTTAGTTGAAAATTTACAGCCATTCATATCGTAATTCGAAATCGACTTTTCACTTCTTTGAACGTCTGTCTGAGATTCGATGTTAAAATCTTTTTTGTCTTTCGCAACATGTTCTTGTATATATTTTTTTATTTCGTTTACTTTTTGATCAGGATGCTGCATGTTTTGGTCGTTAATAGTCATTCTAGACATTCCATTATTAACATTATCTATATTCCAGTGATACTGAGATGGTAGAGTATTTGTATTTGACACAAATGATTCAGTTTTAATGTTACTGGTGTTGTTTGAAGTATTATTAAAACAACACTGAGGATGATTATACAATGTACCTTTCTCTGAAATGGCTTCAGTCGAAGTTTTCATTTTAAAGTTATCTCTTCCATCGAATCGTTGTGAAATCGAGTCATTGTTCGAAATCAAGTTCTGATTTTCATGTGAATTAGAGGGCAAATGAACGGAATTACTATGATTATCTTCTTGCGGATCTGATATATTCAATTTGCCAGCTAAACTAAGTTTGAAAGGATTTGTTTCTCTCAAAGTTACATTACTATTTGAATAATTATCGAAAGTAGTTAGATTATTAATTGTATTACTTAGAAAATAATTTTCGTCAAACTTAAATCTGTTATGATATTTTTCATATCCTGGAGGAACCCTTACTGTCTTTGTCGCTTGTTTAGTACAATCATTCACTGTATTCTGATTACCGTTGTTTTGAAAAGGATTCGAATAAGTATTTGTATTAAGGTTTTCATTGCAAGTTTTTGCATTTGAAAATGTAGTCTCTTGGTATGTATTAAATATATTCATGTTTGCAGAGCTTGTTGATAAAATATTGTCGTTAGTACGTAAAAATGTATTACTCGTATTTACATTTTCGCTATTCGTCAAATTACCATTTTCACTTTTTGTGGAATTATTCAATACCTTATTAAAAAGTATACTAAGTGTAGTAGTTATTTGCATTTGTAATTGTAAGTTTTCGGTCCATAACTGCATAAGTCTTTTTGGACTCAAGTCTCCCTCATTATACGCAGGTGTAGCTTGTAAAAATGGATTAGTGTGATTTTTGGTAAAAGTATGTGTATTGTTTTGAGAAATTTGATCTTGTGTATTTTCTTCGTCAGTCCTTGTTAAGTTTTGAGATCTCTCGGATAATTTTGGTGCAGTCTTAAAGTACGAATCTTCTAAAGTACTCTGTGGCAATACTAAAGGCACATTGATAGATTCTTTTGTTGATTCTTTACTACAGTTGTCAGGTATACTGCTTTCTGTTTCATAACATATTTCCGGTGAAAATACTAAATTTTCCTCTACATAGAGCAACAAATTGTTCATTTCTACTTTCTCCCCCTATTTAACAGAGAAAAAAGAAAGTATCAAATAAAGTGATGTTATATTTAAGCATGATCTATAGCATATTAATTTGGGAAAAATTATCACTTTATGAGATTATTATACATATGCTGCAAAGACATTGGAACAGAGAGTAAAATGGACACAACTGATTTCTTTATTTAAATATTTTTATTATATGTTCAATATAGTACAAGCATCATAATAACAAAGCGTATTTTTCCCAAAAATGTAAAAAAAATCATTTTAATTACTTATATCGAATAAGTATATTAAAGTTTCAAACAATTAGAACAAAATAATCGAACAAATAGCCTAATCATAAAAAAATAATACTTCATTGTGTGTGCAGTATACACAACAAAATAAACTGAAAATCAAAAACGATAAGAATAAATAGATTCAAGAAGAAGAGAGAAAATACTTCAATGTTAAATGCGAACATAATACATCACATTTTGCATTATATTCAACCTAAAATGCCTCTATCATTTAACGTAACAAGTACTGTATAAAACTTAATTAATACTTATTCCTCAACACAGTCTTTTTTCAACAATTTTGCTTTATTCAACATGTCTACTAATGATTTCGCTTTTCCTTGAATTTTTCCAGACTTTGAAATATTTGTTAAATTAGGTATATTTTTATCATTTGAGTTCGAATTTTTATCAAAATATATCACAGATGCCTGATCTTCAGATTTTTGAATTTGATCCGTTAAATTATTTAATTCATTACTTAAATCCTGTTTGTCATCAGACTCATTATCTGAATTTATTATTTCGTGATTACTATCTTTCGTATTTTTATATGTTTCTATACTATTCGCATCTTCTAATTCCATTGCATTTGTGTCATCAATCTCTGATATTTTTAAACTTGAATCAGATTTATGATCCAACCGATTTTCAGATTTTTTAGTAAAACCAAAGTTATTTTTGAGTATATTAAAAAATTCAGTATGTCCTACACCAACGTCCCATTCATCTTCATCAGATTCTATATCAATGTCATTGAAGACTGGTATATTAGTAATTTCGTTTAGTGTAGTAGACGATTCGTTTACTGATTTCAATTCGAGTGATATTTTTTCATCGATCGATAATGGTTTTTTTGCTTGTTCTGACTCTTCTGTCACTTTTACGTGTGACGACGATTCTTCTAACATTAATGGTGATTCTGAAAGTTGCGTATCCGATGATATTGATCCAGTTGATATTAGTCCCTCCGTTGATTCTGTATTATTTTCTGATATTGAAGTTTCCGATGGTACCATTTTTATTACCGATGTTTGTCTCTCGTGTAACTCACATTCACTAGTTGTAGATTTAAATTCTAGTTTTACTGTATCTAAATCTGTATTTTCTGTTTTGATAGGGTCCGAAAAACCGTTGAAATCAATTGCCGCGGAAAAGTCGGTCCCTTTACCGTCGCGTGTATTTACATTATTTTCAACTTCTTCCACGTTAAGAGATCTGTCACTGCTATCATTATTTCTTGATGACTGCGTAGACTTCTTCGAATCACTTAAATCATCTGAATCTAGATCCGAATTATTATATGATACGTCCTTCATCGTCGATAATTTTTCTAACAATTTATATTTACAAGGAAGTACTTTCATGCAACAATAATAATTTTCTTGACTTTCAGAACCATGTTCAAAACTTTTAGGACAAATTACTTTATTGTCAGGATTTATACTATTACGTTCCTCTAATAAATTAACAGACTGTACTTCGCTCATATTTCTAGACTCTGTTGTAATTAATTCATGGGATTCTATGGATAATTTTTTCTCAGCTAATGTTTCCAATATTTTCTCAGATATAGCAACTGTTATATTTTCGGGATCATTTGTCATGCAATTTTTAATATTTTGTATTATTGCTCGAGGGACATCATGAATTTTATTAATATTTCCGTTTAGTGACCAACATGTATCTTTGTCATTTACAGCAAAATGAGAAGTATTATAAACTGCTTTCAGAAAACAACGTTCAGGTAACGGTATATTATCTTTTCTTTTTGAAACGAATTTGTGGGTAGTTTTAATTGCGTTTTGAGGACACGTATTATCTACCTTTTGTTGTGTATTTTTACTAATAATGGACCAGTCTATATACATTTCCTCATTTGTTTCGGTACATGTATCCGCACGTTTTATGTGATGTAAATCCAATTCATCTTCTGAATCTTGTATATGAAAATGATGAGCATATGCTTTTGGAATGTTGCTAAATTTGTGTAAGATATCACACTTATTATTTAATGTTTTATTAACTTCGATATTATTATTAAACGCAGAAACAGGAGATGTATGAGAAATTTTATCAAATTCTTCGTTAATATTATCTAACTCAGATTTTTCCTGTAACTCCTGTTCCATTGATTTACTTGGTAACTCATAGCTGGAAATTTTGTTCATTTCCGTATTGTTATTATTATCACTAATATCAATATGGTTATTATGATCATTAATTTTATTGCAATGTGCTATTTGCTTAAAATTAAGCAGTTTCTTGTACAAAGATTTTAATTTTATCGGTGATTCATCTCCAGAATTCAATGTATAATCACATATATCTTTGGGAACGTTGTTCTGAAGGCGACTACAAGATTTAAGGAATTCTAACTTTTTTATATCTTTGGAAGGTACTAAATCTATTTTACCAATATTTGTTTTATCGCTACTACTTTTAGATACTGGCGTTACTTCACCATTTGAATCACATAATGCTATTTTATTTCCAGAATAATTTTCGGAAAGTGTAGAATCACACTGTGTTGATTTATCTTTCTTAGAAACTTTAAGTATTTCAGTTTTTTGCTTGTAACGTTCTTGACATTCTAAATAATAACGGAATGGAAAGTTTCGATATTTTGTACAAACCATTTTTCCATGTTCGGCTAATTTTTGTTCAACTAACCAGTCATTGATATGCACATCCTCTTCTTCCGAAGTGTCAGTTAAAGTTACTAGCATAGAGTTGTCCTATATTAAAATAAATGTAATTTTAAATACATCGATAATTAATATAAAGTAAATTTATTTTATTCAGAACTTAATATTTCTTACATCTACATTAATTGATGCAATCGTTGCAATTAATGGCATCTGAGTTCTTATCGCAAAGTGATGAGTAGCACTGCGGCTCCATTTACATCCTTTATATGGCCTTGTATTAACTAAACCACAAGGTATTGCTTGCGCTGGTAGATAAGAGAACATTCTATGTAAATAATGTATTTCATCTGGGGGGTATGTTTTTAGTGTACCATAATCATAAAACATTACCTACAAAAAATTATTATCGATATTAATTATTATATTGAGTATAATTAATATAATCGTTATTATAACTTACAGTAACTTGTAAATCAGGTTTTACTGTCTTTATTATACCTCTGTGCCACAAACCATTATACATGCATGCACAATTTAAACCTTTTTCTAATACAAGTGGCGGTATTGTATACTGTTCATGTTTTGTTACATAAAAATTACTGTGAAAAAGATGATAAATATAAATATTAAATGTGAGGTAATTATAATCATAATTATAATCTCATAATAATTATTTAATTCAATTATACATACTGTAACTCGTCCATAAATTTTTTGAATGTTCTTTGTTTTTTACGAAGTTGTATCCAAAAAAATGATGGTGTAAATACTTCCACTACAATAACTTCTATATATGGTTTTTCATCTTGCATTAAATCTGTCACACTTATATAACCGACGCATTCCCCAATGCTCATTGTATCATCTGGTATCAACTCCTTACATACATCCAATGACTAAAAATGTTAAATTATTAAACTTCTAATAATAAAAGTCAGTAGCATCTTTACACAAGTTAAATAAAATATATGTACCACTGTAACTGGAAGTGCTTCTTCGTCGCTTGTTTCATAAATTTGATGCAATTGTGCAAGATTACCAACTTTATGATTTCCCTTAAGTTTATTTGCAGGTATTTCATTTTTAGCATAGTAAAGCATAAAATCTCCTGTATCGTGCAGTTGCACACAATGGAAAATTTCAGGTAACTGTGATGCAAATTCTCTAACGCTATTAAAACCAAGTTCCATGTAATTTAAAGAAACTTTATACTCTTCTAAATATACTTCTGGTAAATCGGCACACCAAATTCCATTAGGATGATTTTGTATAAGTTTTTCTAAACGAAATTTAACTCTTTCATTTATAAGTATTTCACCATTTTTATCATTCGTACAATCCTTTCTATTTCCAAAATTATTATTATATTCTATGTGATCATTATCAAAATCTATAATTTGATCTTGACATTTAGATACAGTTTCTTTTATAAAATTAGATGTAGGCTTAGTATTCACAGTTGATTTGTTAGGACATAAATTAGAGGCACGTATAAAGTTCAAATCATCATCATCATCATAATCTGACACAATATCTGAATCTTCATCTCCACCAACAGTCACGATTGGTGACTGTCGGCCTTGGCCATTATATGATTCAGATACAAAATCTGAAGAAGTCACACCATTAGTTTTCTTTGAATAATCAATTTTATTTTGAGTAGGAAAAATTTTATTATTTGTTAAGAAAATCTTATGTGAGAGTTCTCTAAATTGATCTTCCATGTCTTGCATCGTAATGTTTGCAAAAGGCATGAGCGATTTAACTGCCTGATGTACATAATCTTTGCTTATACCATCCGGATGTTCATGAATTAAATTAATTATCTTCAACAATATTTCGGCTGGTATACGAATTTTAGGGGGTGCTGTTTTTGGATAATAGTGACTTGGCTTATATACTTTTCTTCCTGTTAGATTTGACTGATCTTTCTGGCCAGCCACCAATTTACTAACATGTTTGGATTTATCAGATGCAATACCTTTTAAGATAATTGTATTGTTTTTATTTTCTATATGAACATTCTTAGACATGGCATGTAAAAAGTTCAACAAAGAAATATATCCAAAATCTTTCCATGGTATATTTGTACCCTCTACTTCACAGTAATCATTATCCAACTGCCTTAACGTACATCCTCCTTTTCTTGCAAGTAATAATGATAATATGGTAGTTCTAATGTTCTCAAGTTTTTGTGAATTTGCTTGCATCTCTAATTATAAGTATTTCTGACTCAATTACTTTGAATAATATATATTATTTCATATCTTTCGTTTATGTATATTTTCTTTTTTCGTAAATAATTTACGACACTGTTTGTTAATCGAAGGATAAACAAATGTAACAATATTTCAGAAATTAAATTCTGAAAACTACACACAAGTTACGGATTAAAATTTATCATCAGATTTTATTTATCTTTAATATTGTTAATAAAATATGCATACCTTGTACGATACTAATTAAAAATCATTTCAAATGTTTTACATCATTTTTTAAAAACTATACTTATATAACTTAGATTATTTTACGCGAATTAATTTAGCACGCGGCAAAATTGTGCGCTATTGTATTCACACTAACCTAACTATGAAAATGTTCGATGTGTACTATACACAATTTTAACAAGTTTAAAATTCTTTCCCTATTATTTGCCGCGTAAACTATCGAGAGCATTGCGATACGATACTATAATCGAAATTTTAAACTATACTAAAGGTGGAATTTTGTTAACGCTGTTTTATCTAAACACGATTAAAATACTGAAAGGTATATTTAAAATTTAGTTCTAAATGATATTTAACATATAAAATGCACATATACGTGACTACACATTTACACTTTCATGTATACTTTATATTCGATGTATGATAATGAATAATCTATAAAGTATTGTTTAATATAATAAAAATATAAATAAAAATAGTAACAATCTTTTTAGAATATATTTTATTTTAATATCTAATATTTAATATTTAACCCACCAATGGGTCAGGATGCAATTCGGGAATTTGGAAATAAAAACCATTGTATTGGAAAAAAATTTTAAATAAATAATTTAAGAATTATTTTCAACAAAAATATACATATTATTTCAAATGTAACGATAAAGAGAATATCAAACAAATAACGTAGGGGCGATGAACGATTATAAAATGGGGCGAATTGCTCAGATTGATAATGAAATATGTACAAACTGCACATGAACTGTGAATACAGGCTCTATTAGTTGCGATATACATACGTATGTATATAGAATGCTATTGTCGAGCCAAATGTAAGCAACTGAGTGAGAACAGAAACAGATTGGGGGAGTTAACTAGTTGAGAATGCAGCAGCAGGTTTAAAAGTGAGAGATGAGAAAGGGGTGTTGGAAATAAAGTGCGTGTGTAATGCAGTTCGGTTAAAATCGCGTAAACGGGCAACACAAAAACGATTGACTAACAGTCAATAAACAGGACCTTAATCTTAGGAATTGAAAGCTTTTCGTAGCAGTTACGTTCCTTAAAACCTTATAATTACGCACATATATATACATACTACATAAAACAGTGTAAATTAATTTTGTGGTGTGTTACATATAAAGAAAATACATATTTCGTACGGTATCCGCCCTCTATCGCCATAAAAGATGGCACCGTCATGTTTCGAGGTGATCCTGGTCGGTTTCATCCTTGTGTTACCATTCTTATACGAAATGAGCACAATATTTCGTTACTATTTCAAGTTCCTTCTCTACTATGGATATGTAATGATAAATTCCATTACATTGCTCCCAATTATGATATTACGTCCCAAGAACGTAAAAAATTTTATGTTAGTAATCATTTTAAAAATATATATCATTTATTTTTTCGGGTCTCTCTTGTTTTTTATTTTTGACTGTCCCTTCGTACTCGATTTCAGTATTCATTTTTTCATTTCATAAACAATTTTTAAGACGATACATTGTAGAATAAATTTATTGACCGGTACTGATGAGTTAAACTGTAACAACTTTTATATATGTAGTAGTGATAATGGTTTGAATTACTTTCGCTTGCCCCTTGTGAATGTCATTAAAAACGTTCGAGACCTGACGTACACGAGTAATATTTTTCTGCGTGATCCGCTACGATTATATATGTCTTTCTTTGTTTTCTCCGTCAAAAACAACGAAGACAGACATATGATCGCAGTGAGATTGTACGGAAAATAGTTGTCGTGCGCATTCAGGGTAAGTTACAAATGATGTAACTTTACAGAGATACATATTCATACATTAATAATAACGGTATTAGAACAATACAATTTTCATAGTAAAAAAAATATCGCAATAAAATGTTAAAATCAACAATAAATAATTTTTATAATTTATTTGTTTTTATTTAATGAAATGGTTATAACAAACATAATTTTTTAGTTTTTATTTTTCACATAAAGAGCAATTATTTCTTTTATTTAAATATTTTTTGGTACTTCTTTGTAGGATATAAATAGTTCAGAAAATTTCTACCCATTTATCAATATAATAAAAAAATAAAATATATGAAATATAATTTTAGACTGGCATCATCAGTATGCTCGTGTCTGACAAATTTGTTGGGAGTACGTTGGGAACTCAGAGGTAGAGAACATTTAGAACAAGATAGGGCATGCATAATAGTAGCAAATCATCAGAGTTCCTTAGATATAATGGGAATGTTTCAAATATGGCCAGTAATGGAAAAATGCACCGTTGTAGCAAAAAAAGAACTTTTTTATGCATGGCCTTTTGGTTTAGCCGCTTGGCTTTGTGGATTAATATTCATAGATAGAATGAATTCAGAAAAGGCCCGTTCAGTTATTAACACTGCCACAAATCATATTAAAGATGAAAAGGTAATTTAGTTTCTATTACATAATTCACAAATAACTTTTGATAATATTATGTATGTATATTCATTTGTTAATGTTATCCACTGTATAGATTAAACTGTGGATATTTCCTGAAGGCACCAGATATAATACCGGTAAAATTCATCCTTTCAAAAAGGGTGCCTTTCATGTTGCAATTACATCTCAATTACCTATATTGCCAGTTGTATTTTCTTCTTATTATTTTTTGTCCTCGGAAGAAAAAAGGTTTGATTCTGGTAAGTTTGATATATATATCTAAGGTGAATTCTTAAAAGCAAACATTAATTACATGTTACTAATCTAAAGGTCGAGTTATTATAACATCATTACCACCAATATCTACAGAAGGATTAAATAAAGATGATGTTGAACATTTAATGCAAAAGACAAGAAATGTTATGATGGAAGTTTTTCATTCAACCAGTTGTGAAGTACAATTTTCAAATACTCCTATTAAGTCTTAGAGTAAAGCAACCATTTTATAGCAGTTCAAGCAGTAATTTTATCATTCATATTACAATTGTAACTAAGTCTTATCTTGAAAACCAAAGAATATTTTCTTACTTTTTAGTTATTATTACTACAATAATTTTAATTACTCTAATATTTATCTAAAACATAGATTAAAAATTTTCTTTATTTTTAATGATATTTATGTCTTTTTTAACTAGCTATTTTCACAATAATTTTAATTTTATAACTTTATTTTTTAAGCGAGCATTTCAATTTTAATTATTAGATGCAAGTAAATCAAACGAATATTTATACAAAATTTGTGAGTTTTATATATACATGGAGATATTATCAATGTTAATTTTTTCATATCTAAAACAATAATAAGAAAAAGATTACATTGTAAAACAGTTTTTATAAATGTAGGAAGTTTTAGTAGCAAATGGCAATCTTAATTTTACTTTTGTATTGTATATATTATACTCGTAAATCTGTCACAAATTTTTTAAATATCAATATTCATATATGCAGAGAAACTATTTGAATACTTTTTTTTTATGATTAAATGATGGTTCCTTTCTTGGAATATATGGCAAGAAAACTATCAGAATAATAGATTTAAGGAAAAGAAATCGGTGAATAGAGTAAACAATTAAATGGATGAAACAGTTATCTAGATAATGAAAAAACCAAGTTCAAATCTTCATACAGCAAATTGTGTGACTAATTCTTATGTTCCAAACATTAATTGTATTAATTATAAGAATTATTTTATTTCTAATATTTTTATCCATTTTTACAAATGTATTACATTCTTCCACACATTCATACATTTTCGTATACAAGATTTCTGTAACATTTACATTCCTACATTTGTAGTAAAATGTAAGTGATAATTATAAAATGTAATGATAATTTAAAGAATTTCAAATCATATGAAGATCTATATGTATATAGAATGTCCATGGATTAATGGTAAAAAAGAAAGATGCATATTTTGCAGGTCAAAAGAAGGTAAGATTGTATTAACATATGTGGAAAATGTCTACCGCCCTTCTGCTATAGATATGTTGTATACATACTTTCGTATAACAAATTGTTTTTAAGGCGACATCTTAATGAGAAAAGTTTGAAGGGAGAAGGAGTGGATGCACCTTAGAGGGATAGCATTTCTGGACATATGTTTATAGGACAATTTTACCATTAATTCTTCTTTTTTCTTACCATTAATTCTAAGATATCCTGTATAAAAAAATATGCATCATTTAATATGATCATGAATAATTTTCAACCATCATTGATATTACATTAATTGTCATACAAAAAAAAATTTTTAAATTTGCATTCGTAATTAGTATTAATTATTGTGATAATGACTAAATATGTATTCACCTAAAATATATAGTCTCTTTATATACTATTCTTATAGTTAATAACAATATAATGAAATCTCCATCTGTTGTTTTCAAAGAGACTATTGTTCGGGACTAGGTGAAATAAACGAATTATTCGAATAACGATCAATCAAGATTTTATTGTAGTTGATTAAATTATAGCATTATATTATATTACTTTTTTGTGATTTTAAATTAAAAATATTAGCTAAGGAAATTACCTATGAGATTTATACTATGATCTCATTATTAGAAACATGAATACATAGAAATCTAATAATGATATTTTAAAATAATAAGAATTACTAAAGTAATTCATGTAATTTACGTTACGAAAAATATTTACATTTGTAAATATTTGAAGCAAGAAATGATCTATATTCAATGCAAATTAATTTATTTTTATGTGCCATTTTTATAATTAATTTTTTCCATTACATTCTGTAATTTACAAAATCATATTATTTAATATAACTTAAAAATTGTAATATTACAAATTTATACTTCTAACATACAATTGTTAGTTGTTTCAATATATTGATCAATGCAAATATAATTAAAACTGACATAAATACTAAGAACTTGTTGTGAAACAAGTGATATTCTTTAATCTATTGTATCAATTTTATTATATAATTATGTATTTATTGTGATTGAAATACTTTTATTGTAAAGTTACAATTTTTTTAAAATAGTAAACAACAAGAAAGTAAAATATTTAATTGCAAAATTGTATTTTCTTTATTCCTAATTGATGTACACATACTAAAAGTGGTATAACAGGAAGCATATTCTAGTCTGATCTCGATGGAAAATATTGAAAATTGTAACTGTTACAAAATAATTGCAGAAATTATTTTTAATTTGAAAATAAAATAAAATGTTCAAGGAACCTTTATATACTGTTTATTGTAAGTGATTATCATCAATGATATATATTAAAGAAACAACTGATACAATCTGAACATGGAATAAAAATAATCATTACATGCTTAAAATAAGTCTTATTTTATTATCACTAAATACATTAATAACATGAATAAATTATGGCAGCAGAAAATAAAATATACAAGTTTTAGACAATTAACATAATACACTTTATTTAACTAAAGATACTTTATTTTCAGAGAAAATGTAGGTAATAGGCTTAAAATTATATTTTTCTTTATAAAATTAATAATTATTTAAAAGAAACATATACAAACATGTATACTTTGAATTTTTATGCCTAAACTTACTTTGTACATCAATAACTTGTAACATTAATGAAAATTAACAAGAATAAGGCAATCCAGCTGCTTTTTTCTCTTGATTTTCTGCCCATGTTTTGGCTATTGTCTTTTTCATTTGGTCATCTCCTTCTTGATACATTTTCTTTATTAAATTCATTAAATTTGCACCAGGATCACTGTCATCACTCATATCTGGAACCACTGATGACTTTGATTGCTTGATTCTCTTTTCTACTTCTGTTATATGTGACCAATTTTTTGGAAGTTTTTTCGCAAGAGATACAACAACTGTATCAGGCTTTACTTTAACAGTGCTATGAGTTGTATCGATCTCTTCACATAAATTGTTAATTATTAAACTATAGTTTTTATTATCCAATCCAAGAACACGAAGATCCAAAGTTTTCTCTGTGAAGTTACAAATCACAGCTTCTTTAGGCAACTGATGTACGTCTTTTAATGTAATATATAATTTTACTGTCGTATTTGTCTGATCCCAACTGTAATTATTAAGTTTAACTTCATAACATTTTTGAGGGTTTGATACTGCATGGGTTGATTTTGTAGATGATATTTTGTCTTCTTCGATCAATTTAGATAATCCTGGTTGTAATCTTCTTAGTTCAAGGCTGATAAGATTTTTGCTTCTTTGTCGAGTTGCTTGTTTAAGTAATTGATTCAACTCCTCGATATCAAGTTTTAACTACAACACAAAAGCACTCGAATTGTTTCTTCATAAAGGATGTTTCAAAATAAAATTTTTTTACTCATCTTAGAATCAATTTGAGTAAACTACAATATACAATTTAAATTATATGAACTTAAAAGCAGTTTTTAGTAATGTATAATTTGTATATATTATTATATGTCCTTGAGTAATATTTTACTTCATCGTTAATTTATACTTATTTAAATACATAAAGTATTCATACGTTAAGAAGAACAAAACATTCTTATTTTTATTATAAATATACGTAAGAAAACTGTCTTATTTACCTCGTCAGCGTTCGAAGACATTGCGTTGTTTTAAATAAATCGCAAATATTATAGGCGAAAATGTAATAAAAAGGACAATCAGTATTCAGTAATCTTTTTTGACAATGTTATTAGAATTAGAAACGTATCAGAGTTTTTATTGCACTTTTAACAAGTCACTCACTGTTCTCGACGTTCGAGTAACGACTGCTTACTGCACACTACGCACACGTTTAACGAATTGGGAGACCGTACAGCTAGTAGAAATTTCTGGAGAATTCAAGAAAATTCTTCTTATTATATTTAAAAAAATATATATATTAGTGAAATTATACTAATTCTAACCAAAACAATGGCAAATAAAAATTTTATATTATTTCGTGTACAATTTTGCATAATTTAACTTAAACTTAGCGTTGAGTTTAAGGTTCATTTCAAGTTGAGTTATTCTACAAGTACGTAGTATTTGTATATTGTGCATACATATATACGTATGTATAGTTAAGTTATATTAATACAATGGATAGTGTGAATTTGTCGGATGCTTCACAATTGGAAAAAGACTCAAAAAATGCAAAAATTATTCATAAACGTCGGTCTTCTATTTTTCAAAATCGAGTAATATCATTTGATGAATGTAAAGGTTAGTTATTTCATTTGTTTGTAGATATTATTTTTGATGATACACAGTTTAATTAAAAAATCATATAGTCTTTAGCAATTTAGTGGTTGATTTTTTTTAAATAAAAAGTATTTCGTGCACAGAAAACGAGAAGTTTGAAGATATCCAGGGCGCAACAAGTTGTAGACAAACAATATCACGGATAGAACATTTTAATTTAGAAGAATATATAATTAATTTGAGGAATGAGAGAAAAGAATGGATAGAAACTTTGAAACAAAGGAAATCGCAACGAAAATGCTTGTCAAAGCAAAAGTTATGCATTGAAAATCAAGGACAAACATTAGACTTGAATGTTCTAACAGAGTTTGAGAAAGCTTTTATTACAGCTCGGCCGAACTATCAACAAATTTGTAGAAATTACAAAAAAATGTCAGATGTAGCTTTAAAAATATCAGAACTACAAAGTATAGTTTATAAATTAAATGAAAAATTTATTTTACAAATGGAAGACAGACTACATAAAGTTACAGATAGAATTATTGAAATGTCAGATTGACAACATTCCAAATATCAGATTATACAGAGATATTTTCTTCGGGTAAAATGAACTATTTATATTCCATAAATTTATTACATTTTATCATAATTAGTATTAAAACAAAGTGATTTTTTATTTTGTACAAAATCAATTTATACTTTACATGTATGCGTATATACATCATAAAAAAGGAATAAATAAGACAGACATTATAGTTTCTAAGTGTACAAATTGCAAGTTCTTTGGTATAATAAACTTACAATATGCCCAATTACAAGGACAATAAAGTCATATTTATATTAAAGCAAATGCTTATTTTCATTCTTATTATGTTAGTATTATTAATACTTTAAATAATTTAGAATAGAATAAAGAAACCAATAGAGCTGTCATCTATGCAAGTGGAAACTTTTTCGTCTCGCTGCTTTTCTTTCTTTTTGAGATAAATATTCTTTTCTCGACGTGCTGGTATGTAATTCTAGTATATGATTTATTTTTCTGACAATTTCTTCCGCTGTTATGGAATCAGCCTCAAATTCGTGATTCTTAAATGACGCAGACTGATGCAATGATTGCATCTGCCCAGACGATACTGTAAGAATAAAATATGATCGTTAAGATTAGTAAATAATTTATCTAGATATTATAATAATAAAAAAAAAAAAAGATCAAATACAAACACAAAATATTTTCAGAAATAGAAGAATGTGGAGTATAAACTAATGTAAAAATTGTTTTTGATCCCTTTGTTTCCGTTATTTCACACCAGGCAATGTTATCTATCTGATAACTAACTGCTCTTTGTCTGTTCCAAAAACGTCCTGCACCTTTACCAGTTATTATCGGATTTATTTCAATTTTTTCGCCCGATATTCCAAGATAAATTTCAGTCTTTGTTCTGACTTTGTTAATTATGTATACCCTATGTAAAACATTGAGTATTTTGTAATGATAAATTGTCGCATAAAATTCAGTAAGTACAAGATACCTGTAAGATTGGTATAGCGGAGCTTCCATAGCAGTTGTATGACCCTCCATTTTTGCTAAATCCTCTGCAACTTCTTCTTGTTCCTTATTTTGAATAGCCAAAAAGTCATCTTCGTCTTTTGTTTCTATGCAACTAATCATATTGTGTCGTGCTCTATCGCTTGGTTTCATTTCAGTGAGACCTAATGTTGTAAATTCAAATTTGGATATTGTTTCTTTTGGGTCTAAACAAGGTAAATCCCAATCAACTTCTCCATCATCCTCGGTAAAATATAATCCGTATCTTGTAATATCTTCTCTGAAAACATGAAAGTATCGATACATTTCTCGCTAAAAAATTGTGCAGAAACAGTTACAATTTATAACAAATTCATACTTTAACGGATGATCTGGATGTTCATTCGCGTATTTGTAGCAAATTAATCCAATAAATTCGAGCACTTTTGCTGTAGCTATTACAATTATTTGAAGGGGATACATTCTTTGTTCTTTAGGTAACATACACATGAATATCCCATATTTTCTTATAGGAATGTCTACTTGTGCCTATAACAAAATTTTCATGAATCACATTATGAATCGGCTATAGACTGGTATATACAATATATCGATACGTACACTACCATCGAATTTAGCATATTCTATAAACGGATTTTGCGGTACATGGGGACACTTTTCAAGCTGTTCAGATAAAAGGGAATATCTTTTATTGGTTCGGTCAGTCTTTTTACGAAAGTCTTTTCTTTGAAATAATTCTGATTGTTGAGTAGCAGGTATAATGGGATTATTTTTCCATTTCACATTGACTTTAGCAGCTTTTTTTCTTTCAAGATCCATTTTCTCTAATCTTTGAGCAGTGTTAGAACGTTCTCTATGACTGTATTCCATATCTATAGCAACGTTAAAATCACAGATCTAAAAGGTCTCTATTCGTATCAAACGATCCTTTGGTCTGTTATTTGTAAATATGGTCAGGTAAGATTATGTTTCGACGAAAAAAAGATTGAAAGAGTTTTACCCATTTGTATATCATAAGATTCTGCAAGAGCATCTAAATCTTCATCGTCGCTTTCTTCCATGCCAGGATAACATTGTAATGTACCGTTTGATTTTAACTGTTTCGGAATATCCTCTCTAAGCATTACTATTTCGCACTGACCTTTAAAATGAATTTAAAAATCGTACATGACAGCTATTAATTATCGTTAAGCATTTAACCTAAAGTTTCTAGCTAGTGTACCTGTGTTGTCGGTAGATAAAAAACTATCTTTAATGTGCGATAGCAACCAGTGTTCATTGTCATAAAATGCCATTTGTAATATGCTGTTGTATGTATTTTTTTAATAACAAGGAGCTGTTATCGAAATTCTTCTAACTACTGTCTAACTGTGTTTCTAGTTCTATGTTACTTTTTTATAGGTAAATACCGTTTAAGGAATGGTCGGCAGGTGGCAGCATCTTTTCCTTCGAAGAGCGGACATTCCACCAAATCGCGTGAAGTTCAATTTTAACCGAGCAAATATTGTAAAATAATGTAATCTTTACATACATATTATTCAATGTGTTTTCTTCTACACATTGAAAAATCTAAATCTTTTATCGCGTAACTTTTTTATCTTAAAAAAAGTATATAGTATTCTTTTGTATCAATAATGCTACTATTTGCATAGTTACATGTTTCTTCGTGTTTTATGCTAAACCATTAGACAGAAGGAATAAAAAGAAAGAAACTGTAAAAGACGATGAGAAAAAGGTCGGTAAGTCTCATTTTGGATTTGGAAACAAAATGAAATGCCTGAGGTTAAAGGAAAGAAGTACCCAAAACCTTATCGAGCGAAAGAAAGAGTACTATTCAGAGCAGCAAACGGAGAAGTGTGCCAGAGGAGAAATGAAAAACGGAGAAAATGAAGCCGCGAATTAAACGGCGAGTCGGGGAATGATTCTCCATCCACGAAACGTTCGACTATTCGAGGATGGGAAAAAAGAGACGCATGGAGAAAGGTGATTCTTTCGCGTCTATAGGATACGTGCCAACTGTCGTGACAGCCATTTCAGTATTTTTCTATAAGTCACGAACACGCTTGATACATATTTTTTAAGTAAGACTATATTCGTTTATTTGTAACAGGAATAAAAAAAAGTACAGAGAAGGATCTTAATTTGAATTGTAATATTTCGTGAATATGGGAAACTTCGTGTTAAAGAAAAAAGTAGAAACAGCAACTGTTGTTATGTAACCGTATCCGGCATCTATTTACCAGATTTTGGTGTACAATGACGCGAAACGGAGCCCTAATGTAATGGGGAGATCCTTTCCATTTTCGTCGTCGTCATCGTGGAAATTGCAGCGGGCAGGTAATAACCGAGGGACAGTAGAAAGTCGACAATTAACCGTGCTGGCAGTCAGCGTCATTCGTCATCCTCTGTGTTACCACCGTGGAAAATATCACCGAGATTTCCCGGTAAAATATTACCCGGGGATTATCGCGATAACTCTTCGAAGGACGGTGGTGATTAGTCGCGTTAAACACCTAAAATACGAGTGCTGGCATGGCGCTCGACGGATGCAGCTGATCATCGGGCTAAAAGTGGCCGTTGTATCGGGAAAATTCAGCGAAATGCCGTTCAATTTATCGAGATTCGACACGCGAGAACCGCGGTAAAAGTACGCTCATGAAAAACCGGGAAACGGTTAAATATTTCTGCGAGATGGAAAATTGAAAATTTCTTCCTCGATGTTTCTGTATTATCTCGCGCGAAGAGCATGATACATAGGTTGTTACAATCTAATCTATGTTTATTAAAAGTAAATCAGAGTATCGGTATAATCCAGAAGAATATAAAAGATGGCGGAGTAATTCAAAAGTTAACTTTGTTGTTTCAATAAAATTCTATCGCAACGGTAGAAAGGTTATTCATACCCAAAAGAATTAACACAAACAGTTTGTACTTGCGTATAAAAATTTTGTGCAAACGTAGCCGAGTAAAGTTTCGCACAAATAATTCATAGAATTGTACGAATAAAGAAAGAATAAAGAGAGCAGAGAGAAGGGCGAGAAGGCGAAAAAGGAAACAATGTCGGAAGTCGAATAACAAAGAAGGAAACGGTGTAATTTCCTCTGAAGCAGGCACGCAAACGAGAAAGACGAAGAAGAAAAGAAAATTATAGGAGATTCATCTCTTTTCACGCGCGTAATATTAAAACGACGAAAAAGGACGAGACGAGACGTGGCTGCGCAAGTACTTTCGACGATGTTTCGTAGAAGAAAACGAACCGAAGGAAAAGAAGAAAACCGAGCAGAGTGTTGGAAAGCGTAAGGAAAAAGAAAGACGGTATATTATGTACGCCGTATGGATATCGTATACCTACCGTTGACTGTCGTATGGAACGTGTACGAATGCTGCTCACAATTTTGATATTACGATTCTCGAGCATTACGGTGGCAGCGTCTTGATGCTTTTAGAAATATCCCTGCGATATATGGATACTGGTTGCATTGTGCATTCTACGAGGTGAACGTCTAAAGTCTAAAGACAGCCCCGACGAACAACTTTTACCTTTGCTGCGGGTAAAAAGAAATTTCAGGAACACACGTTTCGATGTTTACCCCTTTTAAAATCATTTCGTCGTGGACAATGAATATACAGGGTGTTTCGGTTAAAATCTCGCCGAGATACCTTTTCCCCTTTCTTTAGTCCGTTATTCTACATATAATGTCGTAAACAAGTTTTCGAATTTGTACGTTAAAGAAAAGAATTGTCTTCTCTCGTTGCGTTCGAACGCGAAAGATAACGATCGCGAAGAAAATATCGAAGGGCAGAGTACAAGGGTGAGGAGGCGTAAAAATCGAAGAACAGCGAAAAGAAGTTAAAGCGTAGCACGCATGTAATTGGACGAAAGAGTATCGTTCAGGGAAACTCGTGCGACGAAAAAGAGGAAAAGAGAAAAAGAGAAAAAGTGGAAAAAGCCAGAGGCTGTAAAACGGTTGAATAGGAAACAATATGCAACGCTACCAACTTACCAGGAGAAACCAGCCCAGCTGCTAGCATCATCCTCTCTCCTATCGCCTTCGGGCTATTTGCAATTGCTCTTTCTCTTTCTCTATTCTTTCTTTTCTGTCTTTGTTTATCGTTTTGTTCGCCATTTTCCTTGGTAAGAGAAGAAAAAGGAAGGAAAGGGAAAGCGAGAGAAGAAGAAAGAAAGGATGTTTCTACTTGTATTTTCTCTTATGGATCTTCGCTTATCAGTCTTTCTTCGTCATCGCGAATCGTCCGTCTATCCTTCGCTCTTTCCGTCTTTGCCGTTTGTTCTTGTCCCTCTGGCTGGCTCCATAACAACGGGAGCTCCATTCAAAGTACAATGGCTGGTCATAAATTACCCTCGAAAACGGTAGCATTAGATCCTGCTGGATTCACCCTTTATACAAACCGGAGTGGCGGCCGTACGCTCGCTTAATTGAGCACCCTCGATAACGCGATACGATTTGGTATATTCCCGGCTAAATTTTCAGCTCGCACTTGGAAAATTACCGGAACTCGAGTAATGGAGGAGCACGCGAACGGTGTAAGCTTGCCAGTTTTCCAAACAAATTCGTACCGTTAACGCGTCGACTGGTACGCGATAGAAACAGTCGTGTTCGCTACGGCACACGGTAATACGAATTATCAAGTACGTTAACGTTTTGCCAATCGATTTACCGCTTTCGGATTACGAACGCGTTCAGCGTCGAGCGTAGACAAATCTTCGGATATTTTATAAAAATTTACATTTAATCTTTTACGTTGTCGATCCGTATATTATCGACGTTAAATGTTCCAACGGATAAATATAAATCGGTCTTAAAACGTGCATCGATATTCCGGTTAATTGCTAACATTAATCGTATTTACCGCAACGATAACTTGCCGATAAGTTGTCTCGTTCTCGATCCGACGACACGCGATCATTACGCAAAATTAATGGCACTTCGCGTAAAAATTTGATGGCGCGTATCGATTGCGTTTTACCTCGTGACGAGTTCGGCCCGCCTTGAATCGTTAATGGCGATATTTCGATTGCCCCGCTCAAAATGTGTCGAGTGATGCTATTTCCTGGCGGCTCCTCTTCAAAACGGATTTCAATCGTTTTTTTCATTCGTTCCGATAGAAACGGTACTTCGAACGTATCATTTCAATTAGTTTCATTGCAATATTTCGATATCGCTAGGATTGCTCTTTTCTAGTTTCGTTTAATCGATTTTAATCAATTTTCAAACGAAAATAAGCATTTTTTCCTCATATATTGTGCTTTTGACGAGACGATAAAAATTAGTATTTTGAAGACTTCGAAACGCTCTAATTCGTGTCCAGAAGAAACAAGTAAAAACATGAAATTTTCGAAACGAATTCTAATTAAATTCTTAGCGGAGAATCGTTCGTGAAAATAAAGTGACTACTCTCGAGCACAAAGATCTTCTTTCGGTATTCCTTTACCGACCGTTTTCACTTCGGAACTTCCTACGTTTCGTATCCCTTTTTGCCTGGACCGAATGGCAAGCGACAACAAACGTCGACAAACGACTCTTTGCTATTGACGAACAACTAAGCGTTTCTACTGTTCCGTTACGATCGTTACCGAAAAGTAGAATGTTTCCACGCTTAGACGCTTTCAAGTTGAAATTGTACATTATAAACAGCAGACTGAAAGCTTCAATTTTGCACTTCAAAATTAAATTTCGAAAAGCGAAATTGTCAGTTATCAACTTTGTTCGTACAGCTATGAAATTTTAATTGGAGTTACCGTTGTTTATGGTAATTAATGTAACTTCAATGTTTATCGTTTAAAAATACGTTCCACTTTCAGTGAAAATATAACACCGTTAAAATTACAAAGCGTTGGAGACGCGAGCGATGGGAAATGACATTTGTTTTCTGTCCTACAGCCATGATATATGCAAATATTTACGGTATCGCGAAGGGCCCGGTTGCGAGAAAGGGGAAAGTTAAGGTAGACGCGAACGATCTCCTTAAAAAGTTTATCCGCCACCGGCAAATCTCCGTCGAGTTTACCGGCGAACTTTCAACCGAGCGTTCGTTCGTTTCTCCACCGGTTGGCTGGCATTTCTTGGAAAGTGTTTCCGAGTAGACAGCCAAATCGTTCGCAATCAGACTTTCCTACTGTTTTCGATTACTCCTTATTATCTTTCACTCGTCCAACTATCTCGTACCGTGATTCTTATCGAACGAGTCACCTTTTGTTCGCGCGTTTCGTAACGCTAATTTGCGTTCCTTTCAGGCTATCAGAAATTTCGCTTCTGAACGAAAATAAGAGACCACCGGTGTCTCGAGAAGATTACGATCCTTTCGCCGTGCCGCACCGCGCTCTTCGAATCATCGTTCGCGATTGCTAACTCGGTCACGTTTTGCTCTTATATCAAACGAAATACTGTTTGATCCCCTCGTTAACTTGGTAAATGAGTTCGCGCAATCTTGCGAAGGTAAGAAAAAATCACTGGAGGGGAAGGTATCTTTCGCGAATTGCATTCTTTTCGACGATAAATAGATTCG